ACACACACACACACACACACACACACACACACACACACACACACACACCATGCTTAACACCAAAACGTAGAGTCTATACCTTTACACTCAGTCTTAGGTTTGCAGCCAGAAGCCCAGCTTCCCTGAGCAAACCCTTGCCTCAGGAGATGCAGCCTGCCTTCCAGGCAGCTCACATAGGTGGCTGGCTAGGCAACAGGATCAGGGAAGGACAGAGCCAGACAAACTTTCTAAATAGTATCAGGAGGCCTGGATCGTGACCAGCACCAAAAGAGTGACAAACCAACAAGGATCCCTGAGGACAAACAGGATGCTTCTGAGGAGGACTCTCCTGGTCAGTTCTTGGAAGCCACTATTGGGGAAGCCGCCCAAAGCACCTGCTCATTGCACTGTCTTCAACTTCTGCTGAACTGTTTATAATTTAAACTGGTAAGTGCTGAAGTCGTCACCTTAGAAATGAAGACGCAGCCTTTCCATGACCACAGCAACCTACAGCTGCCCTCCAGGTCAGAATCACTCGCTCGCACAGGTAGACAGCGTGTGACAGTGAGACAGTGGGGGGACATGGGTGACAGGAAAAAGGCAAGCTGGTCTACACAACTCCCTATGCCACCAAGGTACCTCAACAGCTTGAGTCAAGTGGGGAGCCCTAGGCTGTGACTTAACTAGCTCTTGTTAAAATCAAAAGACCACTGGACGCTACCCAGCATGTGGGCCGGGCCAGTCTGAAATGGTAGAAACAAGGCACTTTCTAGAGGCTGTGTCATGGAAAGGCCTGACAATTTTGTTGTGTTTGAGAACAGGATCTCACTGTGTTGCCCTGGTTGGCTTGGAACGGTCTATGTGGACCACACTGGCCTTGAGCTCACAGAGACCTGCTTGCCTCTGCCTTCCACGTGCTGGGAGTAAAGCCGTGTGCTTCTATGCATGGATAAAAAGAAATCTTAAAAATAAAATCAGATAACACGAGGAGTGTGGTACCTGTGGTTGCCCTCTGGCCGATAACACATGTACACACATGTACACACATGTACACACATGTACACACATGCACACACATGTACACATCCTCCCCACCCCATCCCCACTAAATCACAAACCCCCACACACCCACGGGGGGGGGAGGGAGAGAAGGAGGAAAGGAGAGAGGGAGGAAGGGAGGGAGGGAGGGAGAGAGGGAGGCTGGCTTTAAGTTTTTACCTGTGTCGTTGAATTAGGTACCTACACAAAAATAAACCACAGCTAAGTTAGGCACAACAAATAGATGAGTTCCCACAGCCTACTATCCCACACTGCCTGTCAGCCCTAACCCAGGGGAAAGAGAGGCACGGCTTGGTCCTCTCTCTGCTCTAGCTACACCCATCTCCCCGGCAGGGCCTGTCTCGGCCTGATGCCAACATCGCACGGCTGTCCTTCCAAAGGCTTGCCTTCCAACTCGAATGGCGACACATTCTATCAGGCCAGAGGTCCTCTGGGGAAGTGACAGATAAGGCCTGCTTGAGGAGGCCTGTACTGAGAGAGAGCTGCACCTTGTCACACTCAAGGACAACTTGAGAATTTAAACTTACTAGAACTCAGGCCTGGAGGGCCAACTTAGAAAACACAAGGATTGAGGGGGTAAATGACTCTGAATAATAATAAATGACCCTAATAAGAACGCAGAAACCAGGAGGGGCCTTGGACATAATCCCATGGTTGAGTAACCCCTTCCTCTCTTCGAGTAGGCCAGGGCCTTGCTCACTCTGTTCCAGCTCCATCGCCAACTCTAAGGAACATGGCCTTTCCTTGGGACTTGGGTGCCCTCAGCCCACTGCTAGACCTTTCCTGATGGCCTCTGTCTCCAGGCAGACATGCCCTTCCCTTCCCTGCTGTTCCTGGGAGCCCACTTCTATGGTGTTGGTAGGACTTTAATGTCACACTGGATGATGTGTAAAGTTGTGAGCAGTCACTGAAGACCTGGCCTTGCTCAGCTGCTCTCAAGGCAGATGAAGGAAAATTTAAAACTGAATGGAAACAAGATACAGCCAAGCTACATACAGACTTCATAAAGGTCACTCGAGTAGCCTCTGATGCCAGGTGCTAGGGGACACAACCAGGTCACACCTGGGGCAGGCACATGCGGAGACCACTCTACAGATTTTTTTTTGTTTGTTTGTTTGTTTGTTTTTCGAGACAGGGTTTCTCTGTGTAGCCCTGGCTGTCCTGGAACTCACTCTGTAGACCAGGTTGGCCTCGAACTCAGAAATCCACCTGCCTCTGCCTCCCAAGTGCTGGGATTAAAGGTGTGCGCCACCACTGCCTGGCAACCACTCTACATCTTAAAGGGACCGTCAGTTCTGCTTCCGGATGATTCTTACCCTCAGAATAGCAGGGCTGCTGTAATGAGCCATGCTGAGGGCTTCCATTCCTTCACACTGATCTACGTCCACCCTTCGGCTGCATTCGAAGGCCTGGCTCACCAGGAACGCTGGAAATGGTAACATCCAGGGCGTGGAAGGTGGGAGAGGGATATAGAGAACATGTTCAGCTCAAGAATGGGAACTGAGAACAGTCGTGTAAAACAGGCAAAATAAGGGCTGGAGAGATGGCTCAGTGGTTAAGAGCACTGAGTGCTCTTTCCAGAGATTCTCAGTTTAATTCCCAGCACCCACATGGTGGCTCACAACCATCTGTAATGGGATCAACGCCCTCTTCTGCTGTGTGTCTGAAGACAGCTAGTGTACTCACATATAATACATAAATAATTCTTTTAAAAAAAAAAGGTAAAATAAGCTACAACATAAATGTATCAAGTTTAAAATGGGGCTTAAAAATGGGTTTCAACTAGGAAATACATGTACAAAATACTCTAAATACAAAACGCCCAGAAGACGCAGAACAGTGTCTCCTCAGCTCTGTCCCCCGCCCAGGGCTCTGCCTCAGAGGGAGAAGCGTGACTGCCTGCTGAAGCTTTCAGAAATACTATGCAAATAAATAAAACACATGCGTAAAGGTTATTTTTTAACCGACCATTTTCCCCTTTTGGACACGGATGCACGCACACGCTACACTGTTCTGCACATTTTCCCATGAGCAATGTGTGCATTCTGAAGCCCTTCCAGCAATCCTGAAGGGATAATTAGTCTTCTCTCCCGGATGCAGCATAATTACTCCCCAGTTCCCAGCTAATGGCCACAGCAGTTGTCTCTGCCTTGGCTGTTGCTGTCACAATCTGCATGGGGCTCTTGCCTGTGGGCCAAGCCTTCCTTCAGGAGCTCTGGTAATTTTGATCCATGTGTTACACAGCCTTTGGCAGGGTGTGACCAACTGTTCCACCAACTACTCCAGGAGAGTGTGTCTCTCCACAGCTTCAAACTTTTTGAGCTTTGTCAATCTGAAAAGTGGAAACGGCTTCTGAGCTTGGCTTGTTTGCTGTTTGAGACAAGGCCTCACTATGTAGCCTAGGCTGGCCTCAAATTGGAGGTCCTCTTTCCTCCATCTCCCAAGAGCTAGAGTGTGTGGCACACCCATCTACCAGACTTCAGTTGCTTTTAACTGACATTGACCTACTATGTACAGGAAAAAGCTTCTTCTCAACAGACCTACTATGTACAGGAAGAAGCTTCTCCACAGGACTCGTTATCTAGTTGGTCATTACAGTTCCGCACAGCTGACTGAGGCTCAGAGAGCCCTGGCTTTGGCCTTCTGTAGCCCAGACCCAGGCCCTTGGCTTCTCTGCTCTCCTAGAAGAAGTGGGTTTGACCTGGGCCCTGAGCACAGTGATCTCAGTGTTCGCGCCATGGGAGTCAGCCCAGGAAGTCCTATGCAAGCAGGCACTGGGCTCAGAATCCCAGAACTGTGGAGGCTGAGCTGGGAGGACCGGGCTGATATACATGGAGAGGCCAGGACTCAGAAACAAACAAGAGCCAGGCATGATGGCACATGACTTTAATTCTAACTCAGGGATGGCAGAGAGAGGAGCAGAGGCAGGTGAATCTTTTTAAGCCAGCCTGATCTATGTATTGAGTTCTGGACTAGCTGGGGCTATATAGTAAGACAGTGTCTCAAAAAAACTAAAAAGAGGGGTAGGGGGGGCGCTTGACAGATGATGGCTCAGTTGTTGAAGGCTAGACCCACAACCAAAAAAAATCACAACAAAAACATAACCCAAAAAATAACAACAATCAAAAAGAAACTAAAAGCCTCACCATTTCCACGTCTGAAGCAAAGCAGGGCTATTAGCACGATCTCAAGGGACAGTGTCAAAACAATTTCACTTTTTCTTTAAAAAAAAAAAAAAAAGACATTTGACTTGTGGGTAGATGTGGAAGGCAGAGGATAAGCCTGTGGTAATTAATTCTCTCCCTCCATGATATGAGTCTCAGAGATAAACTCAGGTTGCCACGCTTGCCTGCTGAGCCCTGTCGCTGGCCCCTGGGTGACAGTTAACTACAGGAACCAGCCTCATGCAGAATGACGAGCAGCACTGTAAGTGTTAATCAGACTCTGCAGAGTCTCGAATGCCTGACATGGGAGCTACTGTCGCAGGTGCGCACTACAATTCAGGGAGTCACTGCCCTGGTACAAAGGACCACCTTAGGTGGCGACCTTTGAGGCTTTCTACCTGGATGGTCCTGAGCCTGTCTAACTGGCAAGCTTAAGTGGCCAACAGAAGAGCAGCAGCACTCTCTTACCTGCAGGGTTCTGATCTGCACACAGAGACGACGTGAGAGGTGACGGCAGTTTCAGATACGATCCTGAAGATGCACCTGCCGTCTGCAGAGGGGCTCCGTACTGCAAACACAGCACATGGGGGTTAGACAGGGCGCTCCTTCAGCACGCACTGGACACATGGCAGTACCCACGGAGATGGGGATCTGGGGACACAGTACTGAGCACAGTGCCTGCCATGCAGGGCTCATATATAGTTGTGGGTTTGGGGACACAGTGCTCACAGAGCATGGGGACCGATGTGGGGGGCCAGTGTCGGGGGGGGCACTCATTCTCAGCTGTCAACCATATCCACACACACCTCTTTAAAATAAACTTTGTGGTAGCACACACCTTTAATCCCAGCACTCAGGAGGCAGAGGCAGATGGATCTTTGTGAGTTTGAGGGCAGCCTTGTCTACATAGTCCTGGGCCAGCCAGGGCTACAGAGCCAAAACTGTTATGTACAGTTTCCTCCAAGACTGAAACATTCACTGCAGGAAAGCTCCTTAAGCAAGAAGGTAAACAACTCAAAAGAGCTTCAGGAAGACCCTGAAGCTGGCCAGCTTCACTAGGCCCCTCCATGCCAAGAGTAAGCAATAAAAGCTGAGTTCCTCTCAGACTAGTAGAACAGAGACGCAAAAAGACTCTCAGACCAGGCCTGGAAGAAGCTTAAATCAGCTGAACTGTCTGGAAGAGGCTTAAACCAGTGGTTCTCAACTTGGGGGTTGAGTGACCGTTATACAGGGGTCATCTAAGACTGTCCTAAATATCAGATATTTGCATTATGATTCATAACTAGCAACATGACAGTTATGATGCAGCAATGAAAATTACTGTATGGCTTGGGGTCACAACGACATGGGGAACTGTATTAGAGGGTCTCAGCATTTGCAGGGTTGAGAACCACTGCTCTAGACTCTTAAATTTTATGCATTTATTGAGATGAGTCTTAATTGATTGCCCAAGCGTCTTGAACTCCCCCAAGGCTCAAGTGGTCCTCTTTCCTCAGCCTCCCAGTGCTGGGAATAAAGATGTTTGGGGTGGGGTGGTGGCTCAAGCCTTTAACAGAGGTTTAACTGTGTCCTCTACCTGGGAGACAGAGGCAGGCAGAGGTCTGTAAATTAGAGGTCAGCTTGGTGCACACAGGGAGTTCTAGGTGAACTAGAGTCACACAGTGAGATCCTATCTCAAGTAAACAAGCAGAGGCTGAGAAGAACATGTGCACCTGTGTGTGTGTGTGTGTGTGTGTGTTGTTGCCGATTTCATTATGGAATAGCCCTTGGTATATGACGGGAAGCTGATGTAGTGTTTAGCTCTGTGGAATCAGATGGCTGGGCACAGACATGAACAAATCACTGATCTTTTAAATGGCAGTTGTGATATTCATTAAAATCTTACAAGATAAGCCGGGCGGTGGTGGCGCACGCCTTTAATCCCAGCACTTGGGAGGCAGAGGCAGGCGGATTTCTGAGTTCGAGGCCAGCCTGGTCTACAGAGTGAGTTCCAGGACAGCCAGGGCTACACAGAGAAACCCTGTCTCGAAAAACCAAAAAAAAAAAAAATAAAAATCTTACAAGATTCTGTGTGTCTGTGGATTGGGGGGAGGGGCCCATGGAGGGTGTCTTCTTCGATTGCTTTTCATCTTAGTTTTTGAGACAAAGTTTCTTTATTTGCAATAGTAGAAACTGGAAGTGTGTGTCTGCAAAGAAAGGACGGTGGGGCAGGAGGGGTGGGTGGTTCAGTGGTTAAGGGCACACATACTGCTCTGCAGAGGACCCGATTCAGTTTCCCACAACCATGTCAGGCAGATCTCAGCCACCTATGACCCCACCTCTGTGGGCTCTGTCTCCTTGTCTCCTTCTCCTGGTCCCCACAGGCACTGTGCACTCCCACATGCTCTCTCACACAGTTATACCAGCATGGAGGCGCACGCCTTTAATCCCAGCACGTGAAGGCAGAGGCAGGCGGATCTCTGATTTCAAAGCCAGCCTGGTCTATGTAGTGAGGTCTAGGTCAGACAGCCAAGGCTACATAGTGAGACCCTGTCCGAAAATAAGTATAAAAATGTTATTATTTTTTTTTTTGTTTTTTAAGGCAGGGTTTCTATGCATAGCCCTAGCTGTCCTGAAATTGGCTCTAAACCAGGCTAGCCTTGAACTCAAAGATCTGCCTGCCTCCAAAATGTTGCTACTAAAGGCATCTGCCACCCATCTACGGTTTTACTAAAAAAAAAATAAATAAAAAATAAAAAACAATAAAAAACATAATGGTCAGTGCCCGCTGTTAATCTTCCAGAGGTAAAGATGGAAGATTATCATTTCAAGGAACAGCTGGACCATACTGTGAGACTTGATTTCAAAGAAGAAAAGTTAAAAAGGTGCAGAGGGCTGGGGCTGGGGGCTGGGGGCTGGGGGCTGGGGAATTTGTTCGTAGCCTGAGTCCCATCCCCACCACTGCCAAGACTGGAATGGTGGGATCACAGCAGCAAGGTGGGTTTGTCAAGATGTTCTGACACTGAGCCCACAGGCTATTTCCTGCAGCTGCTTCTCTCAGTTAAATGGCACACAGCGTGTCCTTCCCAGGCAGTCGGCAGTAATGCTGGGAAGGCCGAATGATGCCTAACCCGCAGGGAATGCTCGTAGGACAGTAACCAATCTTCACGTTGACATGAGAAGACACACAGTCCGTGACAGAAAACAGTGTCCTAGAACAAAGTTTCTAACTATGACAGCTCTACAATCATCTCCACAGTTTGTAGATGAACTTACAAACCAGGAGCGGAGGCCAACCTCTTCCCCACCATGTACAGTGTGGATATCTGGGGCGGTGAGCAGGTGGGACTGATGCCACGCCCTGGAGCACAAAGCATGAGCTCCAACAGGGGCCTTTCCATTTCCTGAGGCTCCTATGACTTCTGACTCCTACAACTAATGCACACTGTGCTTTCTTCTTCAGAGGACGCTTCTGAAAAGGTATTTCTTCTCCATTTTCTGTCCCCCACCACTCTGTGTGTGTGTGTGTGTGTGTGTGTGTGTGTGTGTGTGTGTGTGTGGTGTAACTGTCTGTGTGCACGTGGACATGCCTGTGTGTGACATGGACACGTGGATGCACGTGCCAATGCAGGCTTGAGGCTGCTGTCAGCATCATCCCCAGTCACTCGCCCACCTTCCTCAGTGGAACAGGGTCTCAATCAAGCCCTGAGCTTGCAGGTGAAGCTAGTCTGTAGCTAGCCTGCTCCTGAGGATCCCATGTTACCCTTCAATGCTGAAATGACAGGCAGGCCAACACCCCCGTCAGCATTTACATGGACACTGGAGATTTGAACTCCTGTCTTCATGCTTGTGGCTGCTCAAGTGCTTAACCACCCAGTCATCCCAGCATCCCTCTGTTCTCTTTTAAGGCAGGGTCTCATGTAGCTCAAGCTGCTTTAAGTGTGAGCTCCTGCTCCTCCCCCTCCCAAGGCTGACGTCACAGATGGGTACCCTAAGCCAAGCCCATAAAGTATGACATCCACGAGTCATAGTTTATGGGCCTGCTAATGAAGGAATATAAAATAGCCCACAGGGTCTACTGTCTGTAAAACTAAATATGACTGAGACGAGTACCTGGTGTCCAGAGAGCCCACTCCCCAGGCCAGAGACAGACTTCCATCAGTCTGCAACACGCTCTAGGGCTCAAAAGAACAGAAAATTCTGCAGAGACAAAATTCGATGCAGAACTGTCCTCATGGCCGGGCAGTGGTGGCACACGCCTTTATCCCAGCACTTGGGAGGCAGAGACAAGCAGATTTCTGAGTTCGAGGCCAGCCTGGTCTACAGAGTGAGTTCCAGGACAACCAGGGATACACAGAGAAACCCTGTCTTGAAAAAACCAAAAAAAAAAAAAAGAATTGACCTCATATCCTGAGTTCAGAATCTGAATTCTCATGATCTTTGATGGAGAGGAGTAGCATTGACTCTCTGTGGTGTCGCGTATGTCCCAAGGGCAGGCAGTTTGACTTCATGTGTTGGTACTGAATTAGCTTATCAGAACAGAGTATTTCAGGCTGTATGAACAACTGGCTCCAGGCTGCCGGCTCACCTCATATTTAGTGGGCTGTGGGCCATCTGATGCGGCTGTGGAAGGAACCCCTGTTTCAGCGCCCAGGGTAAAGCCTCCTGATGTTCGCATCAGTCTGTCAAAATTGTCTTCATTGGGCACTTCCGGATTAGCAAAAGACAGCGCAGGCTTGTCTGTTCGTAGAGAAAGCATTGGACATGAGCAGAAATGTACGGAGTATATGACATCTCAATGTTGGAAACTACCGTCAGTAGCAATAAAACTCCTGGAAGAAAACAGTCTTTCAGGGCTGTCACGTGAAGGCGCTTGCCAGCAGGCTAACTTCACAACTTCAGTTTGATCCCTAGGACTTACATAGAGGAAAGAGAACTGACTCTAACAAAGTCACGCTCTAATCTACAGAAACATACATGCACATGCACGCTTACACACGCTTGGGTGTGCGCCCACGCACACATACACACACCAAATTTTAAAATGTTTTCTTGTACAGTTGCCTCTCTCAGGATTTCTTGAGGCTTGTTAAATGAACAGGACCCCTAATCATCCTGAGTTTGAGAACACCTGGTCTGTATGGTGAGCATTAGGCTAGCAAAGAATCCACCAGGAGACGCTGCCGTGAGAAATCAATAGACAAGCAGGATCACTCGACCGGGCGGCACCTGTGTGGCAGTAACTGCTCTGAAGGCCTACAGGGAAACAACACAGCAGAAGCCAAGGGTCGGGCTGCTCACGGTCCAGCATATGGATGAGAGTCTGCTTCTTCCCCCTTCTAGGGGACACGCTCTGTGGGTGGCTGTCAGAAGAGAAGACTCATCTCTTGGCAGCCACTTCCTGTGCTGTGTATGACAGGAGAGGAAGAGGCAGGCTCCATGTCCACTGGGCTGCTGTTATGGCTTAGACAGTCACTGTCACTTGTCACTCTGGATAAGCATACTCCCCCAGGTCTTTAGTCAAGTGGGAACAAATCCCAAACAAGGAAAGGCACGGGAAGGAGATGATGACATTTAGCTGATAGGGCCATGTGTGGACCTCTTATCCTGAGAACAGCTGGCACTCAGGAGCACTGTGGACAAACACGCTCGCCTGAGCTGACTGCTCGGGTTAAAAATAAAGATCCTGTATTCATGCAAATCTCCTTAGTGAAAATAAAAAAGAGAAAGGAAAGGGAAACCACAGGTAACATTTAAAGATGAGACTCATTTTTAACCATTACTCTACGAGGAAATAAACGTGCTTGCGCACACACATGCACACACACGCACACACGCGTGCACACACACAACTTGGATCCTTTTCACTGTGGCATAAACATCTTTGAAGTCAAATGTAAGATAAAGACAGCTACAGAGAAAATACTTGAAGATGGTGTGTGTGCCCAGGATCTATAAAGTCACCTGCAAATCAGCCTCAGGACTTGAATTATTCACACGGCCAAAACAGAGAAAATGGTGCTTTAAATGGAACTGAAGAGGTGTTCTTCTTTTTTTTGGTTTTTCGAGGCAGGGTTTCTCTGTGTAGCCCTGGCTGTCCTGGAACTCACTCGGTAGACCAGGCTGGCCTCGAACTCAGAAATCCGCCTGCCTCTGCCTCCCAAGTGCTATGATTAAAGGCGTGTGCCACCACCGCCCGGCCCATTTTTCTTTTAAAAGTTATGGTATAGAAGAACACCTCTTGCCGGGCGGTGGTGGTGCATGCCTTTAATCATAGCACTTGGGAGGCAGAGGCAGGCGGATTTCTGAGTTCGAGGCCAGCCTGGTCTATGGAGTGAGTTCCAGGATAGCCAGGGCTACACAGAAAAACCCTGTCTCAAAAAAAAAAAAAAAGAAAAAGAAAAGAAAAGAAAAATGGAGCTTCACACAATCTATCAAATCCAAATACTTACAATTTGAAATATGGATGCAGAAGATGGAAGGGTTGATCTGGTTGATGAGTTTGAAGTCGCGGTGAGGCGGGTCTGCTGACAGATTCATTGAGTAGAAGGCTGCCTTCTGACTACAAAACTGCCTGTCACCCCTGAAAGTTAAAGAAAGCAACAGCAAGTTTTCAGGCCACAAGCTAAGCCAGATCATCAAATCTCCCAGACACCTTCACCACAGAAAGAAGAACTGCAGGGACGCTGATGAAGGGGTCATGTCAGCAGAGAATCCATTTGGCTTTACTTGCTGGCACAAGGGTGGCCCTGAGGCTAGGCTTCTGTCTGGCGTGGTGGTGCACAGCCTTAACCCCAGCACTGGTGTGGTCAGGACAAGTGAATCTAGGAGTTCAGGTCTATTCAGCAAGTTCCACATCAGTCAGAACCACACAGTGAGACCCTATCTCACAAAATACAACAGCATCAACAACAGTATCATCAACAACAACAACATTGTCTAAGGGAAGCCTGCTGGGTGTGGAGTATAATGCAGAATATGCACTTTCCATAAACTTGGACAGCGTTGAGATCATGACCTTCTGGGAGCCGGAGAGATGGCTCGGTGGTTATGTGTTTACTGCTCTAACAGAGAACCTAGGTTTAGTTCCCCGAACCTGTATCAGGCAGCTCATGCCTGTAACTCCAGTTACAGGGGTTTTGATGCTCTCTTCTGTTTTCTGTGGGTACTGCATGTATGTGGTGTCCATGACACATACAGATACACACAGATGTGCATGAGTGCACACACACACACACACATAAGTAAAAAGAAAGATAAAGACATACTAGGAAGTTTGTTTTGAGTATTTTTATTTTGTGTGTGTGTGTGTGTGTGTGTGATGTTTTTTCCATGCCACATGTGTGGAAGTCAGAGGACAGAGGACAGTTTACAAGGCTTAGTTCTCCTCCTACTATGTAGTCCTAGAGATTACGCTCAGGCCATCAGGAAGCACGTTTACCCACTGAGCCACCCTGCCCTGCTCTCTTCCCCGCCATCTCTACCTCAGCTACCTGTTGAGCCTATCCCCCCAGCTAGAAGGCCTGTCCCCCAACTTCAGCTGCCCAACTTGTGGGTGACCTTCAGATTACAACACAGCTCAGACCATCTTTTCTAGAAAGCCTTCCCTGGCCTAGCTGAGGTGACCTCTTTCCCTGGTGTTCCTCAGGCCCTGTCTCATTCACTCATCTCCCTCAGCCAACAGGAAGCTCTTAAAAGTTGTATGGGTAGCCAGGCAGTGGTGGCGCAGTGGTGAACACCTTTAACCCCAGCACTTGGGAGGCAGATCTCTTGTGAGTGGATCTCTGAGTTTGAGGCTAGCCTGCTCTACGGAGAGAGATCCAGGACAGCCAGAGCTACACAAAGCTCTGTCTCAAAAGACAAAAAAAAAAAAAAAAAAAAAAAAAAGTATGGGCAAACTCAGCTTTATGTCCTTAGTGCTAACAGTGAGTGCCCAAAAAAGTTAGACGGTGGCTAATATAGAGTACCTGCCCAGCCTTTGCCAGGCCCTGCTTCTATCCTGTGACCTGCTGCCCTGCAAAAAAGGCCAGGAAGAAGCAGGGGCCAAGAGTCTCGGGTTTCTAGCTTGGTGCCTGCCTGAAAGGTTGACAACAGTGCAAGTGAAACCAGAATTCTATTAACCTAGTCAGGTAGTTGTGTCACCAGGTACACACACACACACACACACACACACACACACACACACACACACGCCCCTAGAGCCTTGTGCACACTAGGTCTGCACTCTACCACCAAGTGCTGTCCCAGGCCGTCAAGCTAATTTAACAAAGGCCATTACATGGTAGGAGCCGGGTGGCACTGACTACATCAATGAAAGAGTCCTGTGCTCACCTCACAGTCCCATCTGATGAGGACAGACTCACCAGGATGCTCACTAGCAGATTCCAAGTCATTCATGGTGACAGGGCAAGTGGAGGCAATGAACAGACACAACAAAACCTTTCTGAATGGAAGCCTGTAGAATGGGGCACTCTACAAACCGGCATTGGGACTTCTGCTATTTTTTCTTCCTTTTCAGAGATAAGGTCTCCCTGTAATTACCCAGGCTAGTTCCCAACACCAGGGCTCAAGTGATCCTCCTGCTTCAGGCCTCCCAGGAGTGGTGGCTACAGCAGAGTTCAGTTTAATCTGGTCCCTTTGGGGCAGGGAGGGGCGGGGCAGGAGGGGAAATCACAAGCAAAACTAATTTTAAAAAAATCAAAGTCTTTTCCTGAGAGATTAGCCCTGACTAGGGATCTACAAACGAGGTCTGTTTTCACAAACACAGCGTTACAGCTCACAGGCCCACCTGCTCATCCACATTATCAGCGTCAGCTTCTGCTCAGCTGCAGGAGACACCCGTGTGACCCGTGAAGACTAACCTGTCGCCTGGCTGGCCCTTTACAAGGCTGTCCCTCCCTATGTTCCGAATACTCTACTCTATCTAAAGTTACCATATTTGAGGGTCAACAAGATGCCTCAGAGGGTAAAGGCTCCTGCTGGCAAGTCTCATGACATGAGTTCGATCCCTGAGACCCCCATTATGGAAGGAGAAACTTGACTTCTTCAAGTTGTCCTCTGACTTCCATGAGTACCGCGGTATGAGCATGCACACGCACAAAGTAAATAAAACTATAATTTTAAAAAGTTGTGAAGGGACTGAGTAGTATTAATCCGAGCACTGGGGAGGCAGTGGCAGGTGGATCTGAGTTCACTGCCTGTCTGGTCTGCACAATGCGTTCCAGGACAGCCAGGACTACAGAGAGAAGCCCTGTCTGAAAATGTAAAGGGACCAGAGAGACAAGTTGTGAGTTAGTTAAAAAGTGTGTCCTGCTCTTGAAGAAGACCTGAGTTTGGTTCAGAGGGCCCATGTTGGGCAGTTCAGTCTCCTCTAACTCCAGATCCAGGGGATCCAACCCCCTCCTCTGGCCTCAGCAGGCAACTATACTCATGTGCAGATCCTATTCCCCAAAAGACACACATGCACACACGTAATTAAAAATAACAAAAGGCACGGTGGTGCACATCTTTAACTAAAACACTCAGAGGCAGGGGCAGATGTATCTCTGTGAGTTCAGGGCCAGCCTGGTCTATATATAAGTTCTAGGACAGCCAGGGCTACACAGTGAAACACTGTCTTAAAAAAAAAAAAAAGAAAAAGAAAAAAAAAAAAAAAATCCGGGCAGTGGTGGCGCACGCCTTTAATCCCAGCACTTGGGAGGCAGATTTCTGAGTTCGAGGCCAGCCTGGTCTACAGAGTGAGTTCCAGGACAGCCAGGGCTATACAGAGAAACCCTGTCTCAAAAAGCAAAAATAAATAAATAAATAAATAAATAAATAAATAAAACAAATAAAAAAAAATCAAATTCCCATATTTTAATAAACGGCACTCCAATTCAAAACTGACATTATCTCAGGGCTGGTGGGGCATGCTTGCAGTCCCCAGACAAGCAGACTGATTTTCAGGGAAGGCTAAACATGCACTGATCCTGGAGGCCAGAGAAGGACCTTTCCAGCACTTGCTCTCTGGCCTATTTCACAACAGTTGAGGGGAATTAAGTTTCCCCACCGGGTTGATAAATGGTTTCTCATCAAAAGTGTCCATTGTGTTTCCAAAAGGACTAAGCACGTCAGGTGGCTGTCCTGCATTTTAGTCGATTCTGTCTGTTGGTCCCATCCTGAACCTTTTCAAAGGGCTGGTTTGTTTTGCCGCAGAGACGTGTGAAAGCCGAGCAGCGGTCACTCAGAACTGATCACACCTCCGACCTGAGCTCGCATGAGAACACCCCTCACTGCCATTTCCCATGCACTGTGAACTGAGAATCCTTGTTTCGTTTTCAACCAGAGAGATGTACACAAAGCATCCTGACTAATAAGTTAAAGTCCACAGAAAGAGCTGATACAGGCTGGGGAGGAGGCTTAGTGGGGAAAGTGCTTGCTTCAGAAGCATGATTAAAAACAAAACAAAAAAAAAACAAAAAAAAAAAAACAACCCAGGCTCTGGTGTATATCTGGGCAGGGATAGAGACAAGAGATTGCTAGCCAACTGTCAGTCGGGGGTGGGAGATGGGGCAGGGGGTGAATTCTATTCTATGTTCAGTGAGAAACCCTATTCTCAAAAATGAAGGTGGAAAGCAATAAACAAACAGTCCCATGTTTTCCACTGGGCAACATGCATGCATGCAAAGACAAGCACACCCATGTATATATGCACGCATACACCACACACACACACACACACCCCTAGGCTGTATGAGACTATTTCACAGGTACAAACAGGAGACACATTATCTGTGCACAGCTCAGATATTAATTCCCAAACTTCATTAACACTCTAGAGGTGACACACATCTCCCTTCGTTGCTCATACTGTTGAGCGGCTGTGTGGGGACAAGCAACTGCTTCTGACACACGGGGCTTTGCACACAGGGCTTCTGAAGAGTGTAGAGCACGATTCCTGACCCCAGATTTTATCATCCTGGCCAAACTGCCATCAAACCTCCATGTTATATGCTTACGTGACAACTGGGACAGAACAGGCAGAGAAGATGCTGAAATCCGCGGGGCTGCAGTCAGGGTCGCAACAGCAGTTGACATCACACTGTGCAGGAAGCAGGTCACAGACGCACAGAGCAGCAACTATGAAACAGGACAGTGGGGGTTCAGAGGGTAAACAGGCTATCACTGCTCCTTGCCCCCGAAGGGTTCCAGAAATCAATGTCACACAAGTATCTGGTTCCTACTGGGAAAAGAGCTGCTCATGGACATATGTCACTTTGAGTGCCCCACCTCAGCGTCTCTCTAAGGTGGCTGCGGATGCCCACACTCCTTCTTCAGAGCAGATTCCAAGGAAGGACTGTTGGCAACCTTGCTCCTTCCCTCACACGCAGCAGCTGCTTTGAAGTTGAATGGAAAGTAGGAAGATCCTGACCAATAATCAAAAAATGCTAATTTGGCTTAGGAATTTTACAATATAGGGCAATACACTGATGACAGGATACTACAACATGAAGGAAAGGCAGGAACACACACACACACACACACACACATCTGGCCAGCAACTTAGACCTCATCCACTTTGACAGCCACTGTGACTCCTCAGGACTCCATTGTTAACCTTGTTAACCTCCACAAGAGCAGAAGCGACAGCTTGCTCCCAGAGTACTGAGTATACGTGACAGGCTGTTTCAATTTATTCCTGACGTTACTGCCCAACTCATTCTGTCTCTGTCAATGGAGAAAACCCTCCGAAAGAAACAACAGAGAGACTGGAGAGAGGCTGGGTGATCAAGAGCACTGGCTGCTCTTGCAGAGGACTCTAACTTTGGTTTCTAGAACCCACATGATGGCTCACAACCATGTGTAACTCTGGTTCCAGGGGAGCTCATGCCCTCTTCTGACCTCTGCAGGTACCAGGCACAAATGTGGCATACAGAAATACACGTAGGCAAAACACCCATTATAAATCTCAAAAAAACACAACATACAACAACAACAAAAAACAATAGCAGAGTAGGAAAACTAACAAACTGAATTCATGGACTGGACTACTGTGAGGATGAGAAAATAATAAATTCAGGGCTTTGACAATTTTGGTTGTTTGCTCTTTGTTTCCTGAAACAGAGGCTCATCTGGATCAGGTCTCCTAATCCTCCCAAAAAAGGTGTGTACCAGCGCACCACTTGACTTCAATTTTTGTTTTTTAAGGTTTATTTATTTATTTTATTTATATGAGTACTGTAGCTGTCTTCAGACACACTAGAAGAGGGCATCGGATCCCATTACAGATGGTTGTGAGCCACCATGTGGTTGCTGGGAATTGAACTCAGGACCTCTGGAAGAACAGTTAGTGCTCTCAATGGCTGAGCCATCTCTCCACCCCACTGGCCTGAATCTTAACTGTAATGTTTTGTTTCCTTTTTGGAGGGGTAACAATCCCAGATTTCAAACAAAGAATTTTTGCCAAACGCTGATAGGATGTCATGGCCTTCTTATTTGTATGAATGAATGGTTTAAAAAACAAAAACAAACCAACCTCTAGAGATGGATGGCATGCTGAGAGGCCCACACCTGGGAACCTCAGCAACTGGGAGGCAGAGTCAGGAAGGTATCAGGTTACAGGCCAGTCTGGGTCACTTAGCAAAACTGTCAGGAACAAAGTTCGGCAAGAAGAAGGCAGGAGACTGGAATAGTTCAAGAGTAGGCTGGAGAGATGGCTCAGGAGTTAAAAGCACATACTGCTTGTGTACAGGACCCAAGTTCTGTTCCCAGCACCCAAGTCAGGTAGCTCACAAACCAACTCCAGCTCCGGGGGTTCTGAGGCTCTCTTCTGTCCTCCAAGGGCACCAAATATGTATCACCCCCCTACAAACACATATATACAAATACACATACATAATTAAAAATATTTTTTTAAGTTTTAGAAAAAACTCCCCCCAAAAAATGGTGCCCTGGAAAGACACGAAGGGAAAGGGAAGTTTTATTGATAAATGCAAAATGCTTTCTTAATCGGAAAGACAAATGTGCTCCTTCTAGAAAGGTCCTCCTTAGCCATGGACAACTGTGTATTCTCACTAAAATAATGCCACAGTCCCTTAACTGGGTTGGGAAAAAGAGAGCAATTAGGACCACGGCTTCATGCGTTTAAAATTACAACCACGAATTGTCATCAAAGCTTCAGATCCTTGGAGGTAAGGAGGTGAGGATGAGGCAGGTGTGTTTAATAACTCCACTTAGCGGGTAAAACGTCTAAAATGCACTCAATCACCCTGCAAGTGTCTGCGGAGCTCTCAGTAATCTAAACAGCATTCGGATGCTCATGTCCGTGTGTCTGCGTGGAGAGGACTAAGATCTACTTAGCACTCTTCTACCAGTACTGCCTACAACTCATTCTGAAGGTTTCTAACTAGTACTCTACTCCAGAGTCACCTTCTGCATCAACACCGGCTGTCTTAAATTATGGGGCAAAGGGAGTAACTTAACCCCGTTCTCCGCATTTGTGTGCCGGAGATCCGGTCTCCCACTAAGGGTAACGACAGGGAGGCTGAGAAGGGTGGAACTTTGAGCGGTTATCATTTTCCGTACGTTCTTACAGCTGTACCCGCTCCAGGGAGTTAGCACTATGTACCCACCGTCCGTGACCGGGGTGGGCCTGGGGCCAGAGCGCTCCGGGGCCCTGGGAGTTCCCGGGGTCCTAGGCGACTGGGAGGGCCGGAGAGTGGCGGGGGTGGCCTTGGTGGAATTGAGATCCTCCTTCGTCACTGCCGGGGTGGCCGCAGCCGGGGTGGCAACGACCTGGGTGCCTGAAGAGGTGCAGCAGTTTAGGAGCACCAGCAGGAGCGGCGGGAGGCCCCGCGACTCCATGGCCTAGCTGAGTGTCCCGCGCCAGGGATCTAGGCCTGTCTGTTGCCGGGCAACAGTCACAGCCGAGCGCTAGGCATCACGGGAAAGGGCTCCGCAGGCCAATCAAGTCTGCAGGAGAAGGGGGGAGCCTGAAATCAGAAGCGGGGTTGGGCTTAAGGCCAGACGATCACGAAAAGGGGGCGGGAACTGGGCGGGGCAGTGGGTGGGATCTGAGCTGTGCCGGAGGGGCGGGGCCGGGACCCGTGGGGGCGGAGCCTGAGACTGCTCCTTCTAAGGAGCCCTCTGAAAACAGGAAGATATTAACTTCTGTTGTGTGTCTCTAGGGGCTGCGTGGCTGTTTCAAAAATGTAGATTCCTAGCTACAGCCTCACGGAATTCGGCAGTCAGTGAAGACTAGGGCGGAGCCTAGAAGAGAGTATTTCTAATAAAAGACCCCCAGCGCATGTTTAGAAGCGACTTGGTTCCTTTAAGTCACGTCACCATCCTTGAATTTCTTACCCCATGTCACGCTTTCTTTGCCTTTAGATGCATCGCAAGAGGTCGCCAGACCTCTTCTATCCTCGTATTTATGATAAGAGAAACAAAAGAATTCTTAACTTTTAGGATCTTTCTGTGTCGGCCTAACTAACCTCGAACCCCAGGCAGTCCTATCTCAGTGCCTCATGACAAGCATGCACCACTGCATCCAACCCTTTACGGATATATCATTTGGAATGTTCTCCTCGTCTTTTTTTCGTGTGTGTGTGTGTGTGTGTGTGTGTTGGTGGGGGGAGCATGTGGGAGAGAAAGCACTCTGTGGACCATGCTGGCCTTGAACTCAGAGAACCACCTGCCTCTGCCTCCTAAGTCTTTCTTTTTTTTTTTTTTTCCTTTTCTTTTCTTTTTTTCTAAGGCTTAATTACATTTTTTTTTTTGTATATGGTGTTATGTCTGTCTGTATGTACACCAGAAGAGGGCATCAGAGCTCATACAGTCATAGACAGTTGTGAACTGCCATGTGGGTGCTGGGAATTGAACTCAGGACCTCTGGAAAAGCAGCCAGAGCTCTTAACCCTCCAGCCCCTCCTCAAGCCGTAAGCTCTATGCTTCGAACCATTCTGTGAAAAGTTCTGGAAGTCCTCTTATCTAATCTCAAGCCCTGATGGCCCCAGTGTAATTTTTTGACATTTGACTTCTTTAAAACTCAAGGTGTTTGATGCATCTGCTCACACGTTTGCAAGCCTTAGGGACACTGGGGACTCGTTTGTTAGGGTTCTGGTTTTTTTCATCATAGTTCAATGAGTCCATCTAGGGGCTAGAGAGATGATTCAGCCATTAGGAGCGCTTGCTGTTTGCAGAGGACCAGGGTTCAGTTCTCAGCACCAGCATGGTGGCTTCCCACCTGTAATTCCATCTCTAAAGGATGCAAACCGTCGTCTGGCCCCTGGAGGGCACCTGCATGAATGTGTGCAGCCAAATAAAAGTACAAATCTAAATGTGACACGTCCGTTATTCAAAACCATATATAAAAATAACCAATATAGTCACCTGTGACAGAGCTTCTTCCCAGTCAACATTTTTATTGGCCACAAGTATCAAATTGTTCATTCATTTACTGGGTAGTAGAATTTGGTTTGGTTTTTAGTCTTCCGTGGTTTTTAATGGAAGCTACTCTAACGGGCTCACTATAGACTTTAAGTGGACCTGTGTTTTCATTTCTTTTGGATGCCCTTCCTAGGAGTACACTCTATGGTCATGTGTGTTTGGAAGTTTATAAGAAACTGCCCAACCTTTCTCCAGAGCCACTCCCCAGTGTTCTTTTCCCATCAATAAGAGTCTGCCAGCTCTGGTTTTGGATGCTCTTGAAACACTGGGAGTTTAGGCACACTCAACTTCATCTCCATTTTTGATTTTGGCTAACATTGTCTCATTGTCGGATAATTTTTTGTAAGTCAGGGTTTCTTGTGTAGCACAAGCTGGCCTCAAATTCACTATGTAAATAAGAATGACTTCAAACTTCTCCTCTTCCCAATCCCTACTCCCATGTGTATGGGATGCCAGGTGTATATCGCTGTATCCAGTGTATATGACCCTAGCAATCCAACCCAGGGCTTCATGCATCCTAGGCAAGCACTCTGCCAACTGCACCAAATTCCCAGCCTTGTTTTTTTTTTGTTTTTGAGACAAAGTCTTACTGTGTATCCTCTGTCCCTTCCTCACCAGCCTCCCCTAGTGGTGGAACTGCAGGTGTGTGCACCTTCAACCTACAGTTGGCTTTAAGACCCCGTCGACACGCAGTGGCCCACTGACTTTGTAGTTTAATTCTGAGCTACCAAAGCACACAGTCTGAAGCCAGGTGTAGTATAGTAGATACTTGGAATACTCAGGCACGAGAACGGTCCCCAAGTTCAAGACCACCCTGAGCTACATATAAAGCTCTTGTCCAAAAGAAAAAGGCTGGAAGGAAACAAATATAATTCCAGTACTCCAGAGATGACGGCAGGCAGGAAGATCAGGAGTTCAAAGTCACCTTCAGCTGCATAGCAAGGTCAAATGGTCTACATGGACTGGAAACGGAGCTTCCAAAGGGAATCGAGCTACCTGTAGCCCCCTTGAGATCTACTGTTTTCCTTCCCGACTTCGATTTGGAGTTCTGTGATGTAAACATGTTTTCACCCTTGTTCTGGGGACCTGGAGAAAGTTCCTCTTTCGCCCACCTCTTCCTGAAGCCCAGTGGTGCCGCCTCAGTCGGGCCCGGCTGCCGCAGCTTGTGCTACAGCGCATGCGCATTAGCCATGACCCCCTCCCTCCCCCCTCCAATTTCTTGGAGAGAGTAACTAGAGACTGGAGACAGGACTCAGAGGTTAAGAATGCTTTCTGCCCTTGTCGAAGACCTGAATTTGGTTCCTATAACCTACTTCAGGTGACTCACAACTGTTTGTAAGTCCAGATCTGGGGGACTGGACTTCCTCTTTTGGCACCTGCATTCACATGCACAGCCCCCCCCCCATACACACACACACATACACACACACACATAGACACACACACAGAGAGAGAGAAGCATATATAGTTAATAAATGCTTAAAATAAATAATAAAATGCATTATTAATGGGTCATTGTACAGTGTATTAAAAGCCACGCATGGTGGTAACCACCTGTAATCCCAGCACTCAGGACCCTAAAGCAGGCAAGTTCAAGGCCAGTGTGGGTCATACAGGTCACATAGTGACACTTCCATTTCAGAGACAAATGAGCACAAATCTCCCAGAACCCTGAGCCAAATTGTGGTTAGAATAGAAACAGGCCCCCATAGAATCATGTATTTGAATGCTTGGCCTACAGGGAATGGCACTATTAGGAGGTGTGGTCTTGTTGGAGTGGGTGTGGTCTTATTGGAGGAAGTGCGGTCACTATAGGGGTGGGCTTTGAGGTCTCAGATACTTAAGCCCAGGTCAGTGGATCAAGATGCAGTGCTCTTGCTACCTCTCCAGTACCATGTCCGCCTGTGTAGCACCATGTTTCTTGATGTGACAATTTAGACTACACCTCTGAACTGTGAGCCAGCCCCAGTTAAATATTTTCCTTTATAAGAGTTGCCATAGTCATAGTGTCTGTTCACAGCAGTAGGACACTGAACTTCTTTACAAATTACAAAGGAAGACTGGATAATAACTCCCCGAGTCATTGGCTCGGGGCTGGTGAGATGGCTCAGCAGTTAAGAGCACTGACTGCTCTTCAGGAGGTCATGAGTTCAAATCCCAGCAACCACATGGTGGCTCACAACCATCTATGATGAGATCTGATACTCTCTTCTAGTCTAGGTAATCTGTGGCCCTCTTCTGGGATCCATGAACATTGCACACATCACACATACACACACGCACACGTACACACGTTCACAGAAAAGCAAAAGTTCAGAACACATTTTTAGGGCAGTGCTTGGGTTTGAACCCCCTACTTCTGCCACCTGCTACTAATGTGACTGTGACCGTGTCCTTAGGTTCCTGTAACGGTGACAGTGGTAAAATGTGGCGTGGTATGGCATGGCATTTGCCACTCGCTAAGCTTTCAACAGGCTTGAGAACATTACGGAGTTCCACAGCTGGAAAGGATAGGTGCAGGCAGATTAGAGTCCACATAAAACTAAAGAAAATGTAGTCATTGCCTCTGAGTGAAGTTGGCAGGTGCTGTTCTGAACCTTACACTTCCACCTTCGACCTGCAGGTGGCAGCATTTATCATTAAAATTACTCATCTCCAAGGGGAAGAAAAAGGATTTTTTCCCTTCCCTCCTGTTTATTTAGCAAATGTTAACTGAGCACCTAATAGGTGAGGAGAACCAGTGAGATCACAGTAGTCAAAAACAGAAGCAAAAAACAAAACATTTAATAGTCAAGGAAATGGCCCAGTGGGTCAAAGTCCTTCTTGCCAGGCCTAACAAAACAGAGAGTTCAGCCTCCAGGACCCACAAGTTGGAAATCAAGAATGGAATCCTACAACTTGTCCTCTGACCCTCACGCACATGCCTCCCCTCAATACAGAAGAAATGCGAGTTTTAAAGACACTTGGAACTTACCATGGACAAGGGCTCTAGAGTCTTCTTTCAGGGAAGATGAGGGGGTCCCCCAGAAAAATTACTCAGTTGGGCAATGTTAGTTTGTCTCAGAGCCTTAACTGGGGTTCTCCCTCAAAAATAAAGTGTTTTTTTTTTCTAAACATACAAAAAAAAAATCTACAAAGGGCATTATTTACTATGTATGACTGTTGCTTTTATGTTTTGGTTTGATTTGGGTTTTTTGAGACCTGGTATCTCGCTATAGCCCCAGCTGTCTGGAGACTTACTATGTGGACTAGGCTGGCCTCAGACTCACAGGGCTCCACCTGCCTCTGCCTCTGGAGTACTGGGATCAAAGGTCTTCACCACCACACCTGGCTAGCTTCACCACATTAACTGTTTGGGCTTTGGCAAGCTGAATACCTTGCTGAGGTGTGTTTGTGTGAGTCATGAATGACAGTCTGGCTCCTCACGC